ATATACCATAATGGCTAAGCCAATAAAAAGTCTTGAATTGCATTATCCAATGATCCAGTTTTTAATAATAAGATATATTTAACAATTATTCGCCGAAGGCGAGGTGAATATCGTCGAATAATCCCCGAGACGAAGTCGAGGGGATTATTCGACAATTTTCACCGAACCTGAGGCGAATAATTGTTTTAGTATAATTTCAAAGCTGAACAACAGAGGAATTTCTAAAATCATAACATTTTAGTAACATTTATTAACATTTTAGTTTAACATTTTATATAAACCGCGCGGAGCGGTTTATATAGCGTCATATAAGGAACCGCGCGACCAATCAGATCGCTGGAAACTCTTTGCTCAGCTCCGAAATTATACTAAATATATATATTAGCTAATTGCAGACACTAATAGGACACTCCAAATACCAAAATAGATATAACATTAAGACAAGGATGCAACGAGTGTTAAAAATTATTTTTTTTTTAAATTTACAATCCCTTTAAAAACGGGAAGGTCAATAACAAAAATCTGAAAAAAAAACTGCATTTTTTATAAATTCACTCCACTCATGTTAGTTTTATCAAGTTTCCAACACTCTGTTCTGTCCAAGTACTCCTTCAAACGCTGGAACGCGAGGTGCATTAATATTTTTTTCCTTTGGGTGGGGTTTTTCTATACACCAGTCTTTCCCTAGAGGTTTCAGTCAGACCGTGAACTTCGATTTGTTCCTCGTTCACACAAGTTTGTAGCTTTGGAAAATGCGTTTTTGAATGGCCGTAACTTCGCCTAAGGAGATGTTCTTCTACCGCTTAATTTCCAGTTTGATAAAAAAAAAAAGAAAAAGGTGACAGGGTAAACTTCCATTTTTTAGTTCAACTATTTTAAGCATGTCCTTCCATGCTTTTCGGATATAGTCATCATTTCGTGATTTTTATGCCTGCTATGTGTTGACCGCTGACTAGTCCCGTCACGCCTGCGATGAAACAGGATGGCGCTCAGCGCGACACTTAAATAAATGATCCATAATTTTTAAAAAAACTTTTTAAACTCTCACCGTGATAAACTGAAACAATTCTTTGAAAACAGATTACACTCAAAATCCCAGAAACAAGGGCGAAATTGTACTTGTACTGGTAACACATGTATGACGCTATTTTTCAAAAACGATAAAACCAGGACATGCGCAAATGAGTCAATTTTGCCAGTTTCGCACCCATCTCCCGCGCAAAATTTCTCGGGAAGGCATAAATAATTTAAGGTTAATAGAAATCTGTGACAGAATGATTGTCCCTTTTATCAATTATTACCTTGAGGCAAACAAAGTTTGTAGTTTCTTTTTCAAACGTACAAATGCTAATTCATTGGGCGTTTATTCTTGCAGTTAATAAGCTATTTTTGTGCTTTGTTCAGCATGTAAAACTTGGAAATTATCTAGGTAAAACTTATCAATTTTTGACCATATAATTGAACTAATTTTTGACTTAAATCCTCTTTACACTTTTACTTGCAGCTATCATTTACATTCCTCTCTTGTCTTTAACGCGTTTAGACTTGCATGCGGCTTTGAATAATGATCTAGCTTTAAAATTCATCCGAAAATCATTCATGTTTTGCTTCTACATATGTTTCATTGGTACAAGTTGTTTAGATAATTCTTGATGTCTTCGAATCGGTAAGGGGATTCTCTCCTTGAACGTTTTATTTCGACATCCATTGGATCGCGCTGGGCATACTCAGTAATATCCACGTCAGAATTTTCTGGATCACGTGGGCTGTGAAATGTGTCAGAGAGTTCTGGATTCAATTCCATTTCGTTAAGGGAGCGATGGCTGACCTTTTAAAAGACAAAGGAAACATATAAATGAATAACTTAGTAGACAGATAGAATATATAAGATAACGCCGTAAAATTGTAAGTCTTTTTTGCATCTGTTTTTTTTTTCTCAAAAAAACCCTAGTAAAGTTAGTGAAGCATGTGAGTCCTTTATGAAAAGTAAAACCGCTATGTTGATAAATAACCCGGCCACTGTGACGGTATTAATATCTTCTTATGAGAAGATATGTATGTTTACTGAGAGTGGGAAAGATATATATATTTTTTTCGAAATAGGAGAAATTCTGATATTTCTTTAATGTTTACTTAATGAATCTCCATATTTCCTTGTTGCTCAGAGATAGACACCGTGCAAAAGCTGACGCATTTTAATTAATGAAACTTTTTTCAGTCATTTTACAGGCCCATCTGCATCTGTATAAAACTAACGACAAGCCACCGTCTTTCATGAAGTCAGCGACATATTTCGCTTTAAAATTAGTATTAATAGTAGTATTCATTCTGGATACAGGTGCAGTTAACCATTACTCCTGAAGTAAAAAGGTGTACTATCTGACGGTTATCTACAAATTGTTCCATTTGAATAATTTCGAATATGGGATGAACCCTTAATTGCTCGTACTTTGAACATTGCCACTTATTTCTTGTAAGTTTAGAATAGCGAGATAATTACGCATGCTCATTTTAAGGCCTTCGGCAACACATTTTTTTTTATTTGTACTGTCTGGTGGAAAAGATTTTAATTAAGGGTTTAAAGAATTTTCTGTTTTTCCAGTTTAACCCAGCAGAACGTAATAAAACAAAAGGTACAAAATTTTTTAAAGTTTCCAAGCCTTTTTCCCATGTATTTTTAATAAATGTATTATAACCACTGAAGTGGGAGTTCTTGGAAATATCACCTGTAGGGTTTACACACGTACCGACCTCTTTTGCGAAGATATTGAGAAATTTCATCTATTTTAGCCACTTTTCGTTTCGGTATTTTTGTTTTTGCAATTTTGCCAAGAGCTTTTTCTTGGAATGATTGATCTCATCGACCTGCTTCTCCTCCTGTTGAAAAGTCTATGCTTGGACAGAGATAACCTTGGAGAAACGCAGTCGGCTTTATTGTTGGAATTGTAAACAAAGAACTGAGATTTACATTCATATTATATTCTATACACAAACCTCATCTTTATCAGGACAGCCGAATGGTGCACCCCATTTACAAATCTGCCCTTCCACCACAGTTAGTAGAATGGTTACAACCGCTGTAGATTGGAGAAGGTTCATTTTTAACAGTTCCGCGCAAACGTCTCTTATCCACTGAATCTTGAAATAGAAAGTCCACATATATATATACCTCCCACTTACTGCAAACATCATTATTTATTAATTAAATGGGCGATGCTTCATTTATCACTAAATAATACAAAATTTAACACAAAATACCCCCTACTCAGAACACTTTCTAGCAATGAGAAACTGTCAATCTAAAAGTTATCTTAATCAAAGATGCTGGCAGGTAGGCGCATTAATTGGGAGATATCAAACTGAACAATAACTTGAATATTGTTTTATAAATATATAGCATACAGAGGATTTATCTGTGATTAAAATTTGTCTAAAAGATTTTATAAACATTGTAATTATTAGACGTAGGAAATTGCAAGTTTTGGCTTTGATTATTAAGTGTTATCTTTTTCGTTATCATTCTATGATTAGAGTCTGATTTGTACGTACGATGGCTGATAATAGGACAATTATTGGAATTTGAGCCAACCACGACGGCGACGGCAGACTTTGTACATTTCTGAGCCGACCTCTGCAAAACTGCAACGTGAATCATTAAAATCTGCGTGGTCTGACAACGGAGACCTCGACTGACAGCAAACTATAAGTTTCCATCTGAAACTCAACACTTCTCACACGCATAACGCTGAAGTGGAGTCGCGGTGCCGTAAGAAACGATAAACATCCAGCCTTTCTTACTAAAAATGTACATTCATTTTAATCGAAGCCTTCCCCGGCTTTGCATTCCCGCCTGACTGGTCCCTAATAACTATTAGAATACAAACATATTTGAATTACGATCGCAATCGAGAAAGTGGAGAATAACCATTCCTTTATCGCATATTTAGCCATTGAAACCTGTCAAAACGTTTCATAATTACTTCTCATTGGGGGTCTTTAATCAAAATCTTGATTATCGTTACTATTGTCTTAAAACGATAATCGCAGCATGATGCTTGGACTTCGCTTCCCTTTTGTGAAATTTCAAAAATTGGTTTAAAAATTCCAACCTGTCAGAGCACGGCGATGAGTTTATACGTGGCGCCAGATTAAGGGAAAAATTAATATGTGATGCATTAATTTTACAGAAATTCCAGCATGATTCATCAATTAATAAACCAGCATGAAGCTTGATTTGCCTCTTGAAATGTACGTGACCCTTAAAGCTTTCTGTTAGTTCGTGAAAGCCACAAGGTTTGCTTAATACCTTGAACATAAGAAAAGGGATTTGAAGTTTTCCTTTTCATTCATGTGCCGCTTAATTTTCTCTTAAATTCGTGCCTTGAACAGGATCAGAATCCTCATTTGTTAGCCTGCTATGACAGGATGCTTGGGAAAACATTTTATCCTGGTTTCCAATTTTTTACTTGTAGAACCTAAGTCGTGCGAGAGGAAATTTTGACTTGGTTTCTTCTCGTTGTAAGACCTTGTTAAGGCTCTCATTGATATCAGTGTGGTGCAAACTTGCAAAAGGAAATAGTTGCTGAAATTGGTTGATACGTTAAACGAGCGCCGGTTTACAAATACTCTTTGTTAGCTGCCACTTGTTTGTCGAAGTCATAGGGCAAAACGTGAAGTCAGATCAGGTAGCAACGAAATAAAAGTACGCATGCGCATTTTGTTTTCTGACTTCTATGGGTAAAGATAGAACTTTGAATTATGAGACAGAATATCACACGAACCCGGCTGTGCTGTTAAATTCAGCCCATAACTCAGCGAATTGAATAAAACAAAAGGTATATAAAAAAATGGATAAACAGGAAAGAGGGAAAAAAATTCAAAAGAAAAGAAATAGTATAGAAGTAACAAATGTGTATGGAGCCTGGTTGGTTTTCGATATGCTGTACTTTGTTTGAAGACACAAGGAACTCTCGTCGAATAATTGGAAAATAGTGCATACCACAGAGATACCAGAAAGTACGTTTACTTCTTTAGATATGTAGAAAAATGGTCGAAAATTGAACTCTTGACACGCGATTTGGTCTGATCTGCCGCTCGGAGGTGAACATTACTTGCTATTCCCTTTCGAAAAGCACCATTCACTTCTCTGGTATTTACTATTCCCTTTCGAAAAGCACTTGTGTGATATCTAATAATTTAGTTTTCTGCCAGCAGATTTTCATCTATGGATTTCCTAAATTGGATTATTGCACGAGAAATTGAAATCGTGAAAGGCAATGGGAAATAAATTTGCCTTAGCATTATCTTCCCATCTTGTTCTGGGAAACGATGAATTCAGGTTTCATAGCATTTTCCACTAGTAATGACTCGTAGACAAAAATTGGCATATTTTGCAGACAAGATGTAGAGAACTTTCCTAATATTGTGCGATTCGCACAATTTTATTGTCGTCGCTAAAATATGCTACGTGTACAAAGATGATAGATTAGTTAATTTTTATTTTTTATATGTTTTTACAACTGCCACTTGACAATAGATGACATGAAATAATTCTACCGCTGATATTGTGACGAAGGGCAAACATAAAGGTTTTTAACTGAAGTCAATTTAGGTCAGTTTTAGCGGAGTTCGCAGTTCTTAGACCGCGGGAGCTGCGCGCGCAGTGTAACACCATGCCAATGAAAATCGGTAGTAACCCATCAAGCCGAGGAAATTTGGTACCGTAAGACCCTACGGTCATCCTTCCGTTCAAGATGCCACTTTTAGCGTGGAAGGCGGGCGTTATTGTGGGCGCGTCTACATCCTCGTTGCTCTCACTAAGAGGACCTCTCAGCACAACGTAGACGCCAGAATTTCAAGGGGCCCGAAAGACCCTGAGCCAAAATTTGACATGATTGATGCAACTTTAAGAATTTATAGACAGCTGCATCGCGGAAACTTTTAACATTAGCACGGTCCTATTGTTTAGCGGTCCTAGCGGAAGACTGCACAAAGCTTGCGCAAAATGTGTAAGGAGCTGAAAAGACCCTTCCTTCGAGATTGATCTAGTGAAAAATGGCGTTTCGCAGATTTCTGCTAAGCTTGCGAAGGAATTATATCAAATTTTAAGAATTGGAATGCTTCCTCAAACCTTCGAGTGACCAAAGCATACGATAAATAGCAATTTCGTCTTTCGTGACAGGCAATTTCGTCTTTCGTCTTTCGTGACGGGCTCGTCAAAATACGGCCCAACTCGTAAAAATACTCAGCGATACTACACAACAAAGCGTCTAATAAGATGTACATATTCACCAAACCTGAGGCGAATAATTGTTTTAGTATAATTTCAGAGCTGAAGAACAGGGAAATTTCTAAAATCATAACATTTTAGTAACATTTATTAACATTTTATTTTAACATTTCATATGAACTGCGTGGAATGGTTTGTATAGCGTCATATAAGTAGCCGCGCTACCAATCAGATTGCTGGAAACTCTTTGCTCAGCTCTGAAATTATACTAAATTGGTTTATGAAGAACTTAAAAGAAAGTGGAGTAAAATCGAATTAATTTCTTTCGTAAATACTCAAGATTGGCTCTAATGGACTTTACATGTATATTTTGCGTGCATCAAATTCTTCTCGTTTCTCCAAGTAAGGCGAGAGTCATTAATTGTTACACTTTGGTTTAAATATATTCAAAAGTTTCTTCAAGTTCTATCGAACCTCGTCACGAAGCAGTTAAGAAATAAATTATTACCTGTATAGCACGAGATGTGCGATGAATACATTTAGTTTGTCACCAAAACGCGAAAAAAAAAATCATTGCAAATCCCTTTTGGTTACTTGGTAAGGCAGATTGATTCATGATATGCACTATTCAAAGATTTCATATCAAACTCACGGGGTACAAATAGTCTCTTAGTGAATTTCGTGACCACGCCCACTTCATCGGCCCACTCAAATCGAGTGCGATTTTTGGATGTTATATCATCTTGCCGACTCTCTGTATAAAAAGTTAACAATGTACCACCGAAATATTGAACTATAATATCATGGCTTTCCATTTTGTGTATTTTCGTACTACAAAGTAAAGTTTTTCCCTCGTCATTTTCACCTTTTCCCCAGCGGGTCCGTCAAAATTAAGAAGGCGTTCGTGGTCAAAACAAGACCGAGCAAGCTTTCTCGGATAATATCGAATTTCGCATCTGTGAATGAGTGGGGCATACATCATGCGGAGGGATAAATATTTTCTTCTTAACGTTATAGCAACATACTATTGGCAGTCTTTCGGTATGGAAGCGGAAATATTGAGTGACAAAGGATTAAAACTAAGTCTGGAACGAACCAGGTTGATGGGATAGTGGTCTACTTCCATGCTTGTAGGACCATACAAGAAAAAAAAAATTGAGAAATGTAACAACCTCAATAGAAATAGAAGGTATATGCAGGCGGTTAGAAACCGGCAAGACAGAATCATGCGTGTCGCAAAAAAGTTCAGTGAAGTCTTGTTTAAACAGTTCCTACGATCAAATTGATTGCAAGTGTGTCTTCTACAGAAGTCCTCGCACCAGATCGTCTTTCCTTTCCCTCCTGAAATATAGGAGTAACTTTTGCAGATGCTGACTGTGAAGTTTCGGGAATAGTTCATCGGATTATTCAACCTGAAGATCAGCTTCTATACCAGCAAATAACCATTTTTAAAAGCATATTCGATATTGGTTATGGAGACCGCGGAAAAAAATTTAGTATCAATTTATTTATGAACTCTCTTCTATAAGATCCTAATGCTGGCAAATTGCTACGGGGGAACTAGTTTGTGATGAAAACAGATAAACTAAGGCCGAAGTAGGCGATGGACAGCAATTTTCCTCTTTGTTTCCCATCTTTTCTCGGAGGACCGTTCAAATTTACCGCCACTGGCGGGTAGACTTGAAAAGTACCTGGATGTGTCACGGCATTCTGAGCGATGAGATTAAAGTCAGACGCGCTTAAACCTCTAAAGTCGTCCACAACGCTAGCCAGCGAGACTGAAAGTTTAGTTATACAGGGAAAACAGAGGAGCCTTAAGTTGCTCGGAAAAATAAACATTTCAAAACGCTTATATGACATACATGATTGTACCCTTACAAAAGGGTCAGAACAAAG